ATATGGAGGGGATAATAATCAATGTAATGAAACAAGCTATATGAATGGTTGAATGTGAAGCTGATGATGTGCCCTGTAAACTTTCATTCAATCCAAAATAAAAACATTTAATAATAAAAAAAAAAAGAAATGTAAAGGTGAACATTTTGTAGCAAAAGGAAGGAAGTGATTGACTTTGCAGTCCACGAGCTGAGGTCCCTGGAACCTTCAAAGGAGAAGAGCAGTGTGCAACACCCCTACCCTGAGTAGCAGTGATGCCATAGGTGGAGGCAGAGATGATGACATGGATCAATAGAGCACCTGGGGACTCTAGACCCAGAGAGGGAAGGAACTGTGCTGATGACCAGGGAGTAGTGGGGTTGTGGCAGGTGGTGGCAGGCTTGCAGGGTATATCCTTTGGTTGGTTGATGATGCATGGAGGGGATTATAACCGTGGCAATGAAATGATATACGATAGGATGAATGTAAAGCTAATGTTCTCCATGTAAACTATAAAATAATTCACAATAAAACATTAAAAAATAAAAAAAAAATAAAATAAAATGATAAAATGAAAAAAAAAAAAAATAATAGTGTGGCCCCCCACAAGTCAGAAGGCTGAGGAAAGCCCATCTAACCCTAGTCTGTGCCTCCCTCACAACACCTCGAAGAGGTCAATGGCTGAGACAACCAAATCAGGGTTGGGGAGAAGAAAGGAAGTCACAAAGCCGGAGGACCCAAAGGAGCCAGACTCCCCCACAACAGCTCTGCTGCTCCTTCCTTTCCATGTGCAGAGGCCAGAGGTCCCATGTTCTAAGTTCCAGAGAGAGAAATTATTTTAATGAACTTTTACTTATTTTTAAGTTTGTTGTTGGGAAGATAAACCAATTCAACAATCTCTACCTACAATTCAGTGACACTGATGACATTCTTTCAGCTGTACCACCATTCTCATTCTGAGTTGTTCCTCCACCACTGACAAAAACTCAGTGAGCCCTGCATTTTCTGTGTCATCTTTCAAGTAGCTATGGTCCATTTCACCCCAAAGGGACAGACCTTATTCTGTTCTACACTTACCTCCCCCTTTGATCAGGATTCTGCTGTAGAACCTTTGATGAATCTTTTTGGTCTCATGACAAAGGAGACACCACTGAGGGAATTCTAGGACTCCCTGTAGTCTGCACAGACCTGTTCCTATATTCCCAGTACTGACAGCAGTCTCCACCATCACACCCTACCCAGAGATCTCTTCGAAATGATTATTCATTCCCAAAACTCATGATACAGTTAAGTCTTCAGTATGAAACTGAGAGCAGTGTGAAGAAGAGAAGAGGCAAGAATGACCTGGGACCCCTGGTCCTCCAGTTACGATTCCTGGGCAGTCTAAAGACCTGTCCCTTATTCACCCTGACATCCAACTCACTTCCTGAAGCCCCAGCTCTTCCCCCCTTGCACACTGAGTCCTCTCTACCAGTTTGAGTCTCTCCTGGTATACAGGGGCCTCTCTTTAAGATTACTACCTCTGGGCTAAAGTGCCCTTTGCTCTCTCAATACTGCTCCCTGGAACTTTTAAGATCCTCCCCACGCTCCCAAGATCCCTCCCGAACTTTGTCAGTTGCTCTGGCTGCTCTTCCCCCAATTCTGTCTCAAAGCTCAAGGTTGACACCAGTAGGTGCAAGACTCTTGACTGCCTATCGGTGCAGCTAGGAGCTCCCTGGGGACAACTTACCTTCCTGGCTACCAACTGGATGGCATCATCCTCAAAGGCCTTTATGTGTTTGAGTCGGGACATTAGGATCTGCTGCAGTTGGCTGTGAGTATAGGGCTGAAAGGACATCCTGGTAAGACCCTGGGGAGCCAAGAAGACAAAGAAACAAGGTCAGCGAATGCCCATTTTGATTGTCCAACCTCAATTTTTAAGTGTCATATGACACTTCATCCCTGGACTGCTTTCTGGCCTCTCATTGTTGATAGTGGCCCATGGCATCCTGTAGAAAATAGTTCTCTAGCAACTTTTTTCATTTAGTTGAAGAACCTTCCATTGTAGCAGATTGAACATAGACAAAGCAGCAGTACTCAAATCAAAGTGGGTTGGAAGATCTTAGGCTCTAATACAATATTCATGGCCATGTTGTTGTTAAGTACCGTGGAATCAGTTCTGACTCATAGTTAACCTGCACAGGGTTTCTGAGGCTGTAAATCTTTACGGGTGCAGAAAGCCTCATCTTTCTCCCACTGAACAGCTGGTAGTTTCGAACTGCCGACCTTGAGGTTAGCAGCCCGATTAGTAACCACTACGCTACCAGAGCTCCTTATTCATGGCCATAGCCTCTGCTTTATTCCTTATATATATTTCTTTGATGCTGCATTTCCTGGTCTGTGAGGGCAAACCATGTTTGCCTTCTTCAGTGCTCAACTCCGGAATACTTCCTGGCACATTAGCTTCAATATTAAAAAAAAATAATAATCTCCACGGCTCTGTGCAATTTAAAAGTGCACAGGCAGTCACTACCAAGATGCTGCGATGTTTCCAGAAAATCATAAAATGGTGACACATTAATTTCAATGTAACATTTGGAAAATCATGCTTCTTATTTTTTTCCCTTTGTTTGTGTCCTGTAGGAGTTTCTGTAGAAGAACGTGTGATAGCCTCCCTAGCACCTACCAGTCGACTCGCCACCCGCTTCATCATGATTTGCTCTGGCAGGTCCATTGTGTTGGCTATGGCCAGGACTACTAGCCGGGCCTCCTTGTGCGTGGGCCAATCAAAGAGACTGTACATTACGTCTTGTTTCTGAGTCCACAGCAGGTCAAGCTGTCAGGGAAACGTACGGAGACTGTCAGTAATCCTAGTGTCCAAGCCAGGGTCTTGATGATCCCATTGTTTAACTGCATGTGCTTCCCAAACAACACCACCAAAGCAGCAAAGAGGAGATTCTGGGGGGACACAGCTCTCTGATCACCAGAGAATGGGCTCAAATTTGCAAAGCAGGCAGCTAGGACATCCCTCCGGGAGCCCCCTAAGTGCTGTTGTAGCATCAGTCAAGTACCACCCCATTTCTCCTCCAGGTCCCCCTGGACTGCTCCTTACCTCATCCACAAGCAGCACAGTCAGTTCCTGAGGAGAATCAAGTGTGCAAAACCGCTTTGCCAGAAGTTCTGCTGCATGGTTGGCTGTTGCCTTTTGGCCTGTCAGCTTCTGCATCGGGTAAAAACACCTTAAGCTGTGGTAAACTGTGAGGGTTTTATCCCCCAAGGTTTAAAGCCAAATCTGGAAACAGAGGAACTATTTAGTCGGAAAACTTCAGTACCCTATACGCTGCCTTCCGATCTATTCTCAGCCTTAACCTGGAAGGACAACAGAAGGCACCAAATGAGAGGATAAGAAAAATGAATAAAATCTGTGTTTGAGATTCAAACAAGCCACGAACTATTCCCAGATACCTTCAAAAAACATTATTACGTTGACTTTACAACCCCAACAGCTTTGCTTACCTGTAAGATTTGCACATAGATTTGGTGGGGTTCCGTTAGCTTCATGCCATTGACTTCAATGTATTGAAAGGGTGGAACATCATTTGCTTCAGCTGCTTGCTGCAGACAGCGTATCACCTCATGTACAGTGGCAGTCTTCCCTGTCCCAGGGACCCCGGAGATATACATGCACCTAGGACAAGAAATGGTGGTGGTGTGCTGTGGAGTCAGTTCCAATTCATAGCGATCCTGTATAGGGTTTCCGAGGCTGTAAATCTTTACTGGAGCAGAAAGCATTTCTACCATGGAACAGCTGGCAGTTTTGAACTGCTGACCATGAGGTTAGCAGACCGACTCGTAACCACTATGCTGCCAGACTTCCTGGTGTGGCACTATGGGTTAACGCACTGGACTGCAAAGTCGGTTTGAACCACAGGGTCGGCAGTTCAAGCTTACTAGCTGCTCCTTGGAAACCCTATACAGGGTCGCTATGGGTTGGAAGCAACTCCGGCATTTTAACAACAACAGGGCAAGAAGGAAGACCCATAGGCTGGGTTTGTGCTAGCCTCTTTACATGATAATCAGCATGAGTGTGAAAATGAGGGTAGGGCTGAGATCTCTAAAATGTGGGGGTCAGAATAAGAGCTGTTTATATAGAACTTTCCATCTGTAAGCATCATTGTACGCAATCCCCTCCCCATAGAGGGACAGTGTCATTCTTTTGAAAAAGCATTATTTCTATTCCTATAGAATTACTTTGCTTTCACTAAGCAGTGATTTTGCCTATTGCCCTCACACTAAGGAAGATCATCTGACTAAAATCACTCCCATGACGTGATCTGCTCTGATGTGATGTAATTATTCTATGTGTTGTAAATCCTCACATGATGCTAATTAGACCAGATGCAGTCGACAGGATTAGTTTGCATCTTGAGTCAAATCTCTTCTGAGATAGAAATGCTGGGCCTACAGATGCTGAAAGGAGACAATGACCTTTCTCCAGAGTCGGGACTCTGAATTCAGACTTCTAGCCTCCTAAACTGTGAAAGAAGCAACTTGTTTGTTAAAAGTCATCCCCTTGTGGAATTTCTGTGCTAGCACCAGGTGACTAAGATGGTCCTTCCCTCAAACCCTCCTGCAGGCCCTAGCTGACTCACCCTCCAGTATGGTCAAGAAGTTTGCTTTCCACAAAGTTGTAGATGTCTTGGAATTCCTGTTCCCGACAGGGGAGAGACTCAGGTATGGCAGAAACATGCAGCCTACAGTTATGGTAAATGGGGAAAAAGAGAACTTTTAGAAGTTCTTCACCATCACCTCAATAATAAGTATAGATTTGTCTATAGTTTCTACATCAAACCTTAACTACACATTCATTCTTGATTTTCTCCATTTGGCCTCATAATCTTTGGCCTCTCTTCCTTGACCTTATCATCCAACTTTGGTCTTTAACCAAGATATGTATTATCGGGTGAGCGCACCCAAATCATGCGGACAAGACTCAGTCCATGAGACTAAACTTAGTTGATTTCTGGCAAACGTCCCACTTGGTTCCTTTTTATGTCCAAAAGAATCAGGTCATGACTATTCTCATTCCCTGAGAAAATGATGGCAGCAGACTGAATGGTCTGCTACTTCCAGAGCCTGTGGGCTTGCCCAGATTCCACCCAACAGAGGTTTCTTCTTTCTAACCAGAGGTGGGGAAAAATCTGCCCGCAGTCCACATGAGGCCCATGAAACCATTGGGCTGGACTTGCCAAGGCAACCATTTAAAACAAATTTTAAGTTGATAATTTTGTATGGCCCATGAATGATGCTATAAATTTTGGCAGAAAAAAATGTTTCCCACCTATTCTAAACACATCTGCTCATTTTATTCTACCTTTTTAAGGTGCAGGAATGAATGATTGTGGATTACTTCTGCTTTATGGGAAAAAAGCAGAGGTCCAGCTCTCTTACCTCAGTCGAGCCTCCTCCAACACATTGGTCGGCTCCTGGGCAGTCAGGCTTCGGCTTCGGATCTGGGGCTTAGCCTGACATGGAGTTCTACACTTAGGCTGTATCCAAAAAGAGAACACATTTCAGAAAGGAAAAACACTCAAAATACCACCCAGGACACCCTCACAAATTTGATTCATAATGATCTGATAAAAGTAAGTTGTTAAGTGACATCAAGTCAATTTTAACTCATAGTGTCCCTGAATAGGGTTTGAACTACCAACCATGTGGTTAGAAGTCCAGTGCTGATCCTACAGCTCCACATCAGGACTCTGATAAAAGGAACAGAGATGGTAACCCTTAGTTGCTGTCTTGATAAAGCACCATGGTTCTTCCTCTTTTGACTCACAATTACACATATACTTTGCTTAGTGTCCAAACACTTAGTTTTTCTCTAATTCATGTTTAGTATCAGGATTTGATGCTGGAATGGTGCTGTGGGATAAAGCACTGGCATGCAAGGTCAGTTTGAACCTCAAGAACAGCAGTTAAAATTCACCAGCCGTGGGAACTCTAGACCCAGAGAGGGAGAGGGGCTGTGTGCTGACAATCGGGGGGACAGGCTTGCAGGGTATACCCTTTGGTTGGTTGATGATGCACGGAGGGGATTGTAACCATGGCAATGAAACGATATACGACAGGATGAATATAAAGCTAATGTTCTCCCATGTAAACTATCACATAATTCACAATAAAACATTAAAAAAAAGAAAAATTATCATCTTGAAAGTAAGAAAGGAAGTTATTAAGAAACCCTATCCATGTTGTCCAAATACCAGGTATTGTAGGAGACGTGAATAAAATCATTTTCTATATTTGAGAAGGTAACTTTACACTCTGGTCTTCCATGTTTCACAATGAAGTTCTTGAGGAAGCTTCACAGGATATTCCCACTTCAAACCCTGGGTCACTGTTTAGTCTAGGTTAACAGTCCTCTTTCTCTCCTTCCTTGCTATTGGGCACCTTGTAGGGTTTTGGATAGTGCAAACAATGTTACTACTCAACTACTCAACTAAAGCGTGGCAGTTCAAGTCCACCACACAGAAAGTGCTGGTGGTTTGCTTCTAAAAATATTACAATCAATAACAACACCTTATGGCGTACTCTTCCTCTGTAATACACTAGGGCATAGTGAGTCACAAGACTTCAGGGTTAACTGCTTCTGTTTTATTTCATTTTTACTAGCCTTAGTGCAGGCCTGCATTGTTATACTGGTTGTTAAGTTCTGACTCATGGTGACCTTGTATAAGGCTTCCAAGGTGGGATTAGCAGCTCAGTGCTTATCGTACAGTGCCATACCAGGACTCATCTTCATTGTGTTGTTGATAAATGCCATCAAATGGGTCCCAACCTTGTGTAGGGTTTATGGGGTGTCTAATGGGTTTGAAAAATCCTGGTATGGCACTGTGGGTTAATGCGCCAGACTGCAAAGCCATTTGAACTGCAAGGTTGGCGGTTCAAGCTCACCAGCTGCTCCTTGGAAACGCTATACAGGGTCGCTATGGGTCGGAACTGACTCGACGGCACTTAACAACAACAACAATGGGTTTGAAAGAAGCTCTGGTAACATAGTAGTTGAGTCAGGCTGCTAACCTCAAGGTCAGCAGTTCGAAACTTACCAGTGGTTCCACAGGAGAAAGATGAGGCTTTCTGTTCCCATAAAGATTTACAGCCTCAGAAACCCTATACAGGGCCGCTATGGGTTGGAACTGACTCAACAGCACTTAACAACAACAAGTGGGTTTGAACCACCAGCCTTGTGTAGTTTCTGCAAAGCATTTCAACCACCAACTCTCTCCACCTTTTTCTCAGGCAAAAATCTCTCAGGTTGGCTTAAAGTGTTTCCTATCAATTAACAAAATCTGAAAAGCCAGATGGACTTTGAGCTTTGTTTTTATTGTGCTGAAGATAATTTTCCACACCCTTGTCGCTGTCTGCTGGGACCCAGGAGATGCAATCAAACTATAACAATGGCGAGCTATTTGCAATTTGAGGAACTCCAAATATAGCCTCTATTCCAAATATTTGGATTCATGGTATGGTGCTGTGGGTTAATGCACTGGACTGCAAAGTCTGTTTGAACCAGACTTTGGTCAAGCTCACCAGCCTCTCCTCGTAAAATCTATACAGAGTTGCTATGGGTCGGAACCAACTCGACTGCACTTAACAACATTCCTAATTTGATCTAATGGATTTTTGTCTCTGAGCTAATGGATTTCTTTGACCTCAACGCAAGCCCAATCCTTGGTTCTTCTCCATACGGAAACAATGGTGAATATGTAGGATAAACAATGAACTACTAACCACAAAGTTGGCAGTTCAAACCCACCAGCTGCTCTGCTGGAGAAAAATGAGGCTTTCTGCTACCCTAAGAAGTCCCGGTGTGACGCCATGGGATAAAGCACTGGACAGCAAGGTCAGTTTGAACCACATGGTCCGTGGTTCAAACTCATCAGCCACTCCTTGGAAACCCTACACAGGGTGGCTATGAGTCAGAACTGACTCTAAGGCACTTAACAACAACAACCACCATAAAGATGTACAGCATTGGAAATCCTAATTATATAGTCGGAATTGACTCGATGGCAGTGAGTTTGGGTTGAGTTTGGGTTGAGTTTAAGGAGAAAATAATGTTTGTCAAGGATTTCATTTTATTTGAATCCATAATTAACACCCATAGAAGCAGCACTCAAGAAAAACAATGCATTGCATTGGGAAAACCTACTTTGAGGACTAGGGTGTGTCTGATCCAAGTGATGGTATTTTCAATTGTCTCATATGCACATGAATGCTGAACAATTAAAGAAGACCTAAAAAGAAGGGATGCTTTTTTTGGTGTTTGCAAAAGATATTGAAAATACCATGGACTGCCAGAGGAATGAACAAATCTGTCTTGGAAGAAGTACAGCCAGAATGTTCCTTAGGAATGAGGAGGGCAAGACTGTCTCATGTAGTTTGGATATGTTATCATGAGGGACCAAACAGTCCCCAGACAAGGACATCATGCTTAGTAAAGTAGAAGGTTAGTGAAAAAGAGAAAGACCCTCAATGACATGGACTGACACAGTAATTGCAACAATGTGCTCAAACACAGCAAAGCTTGTGAGACGACGCAGGACTGGGCAGTGGCTTGTTCTGTTGTACACGGGGCTACTATGAGTCACAACTAGCTCAAAGGAACTAACAATAAGCATTTCCCCAAGGAGGCCCTGGTGGTGTAAAGGGATAAGAGCTTGATTACTAGTCCAAAGTTTGGTGCTTTGAAATCCCAGAGGCACCTCTGGAGAGAGGTCTGCCTATCTGCTTCCAAATTGTCACAGCTTTGAAAACCCTGGAGAGCAGTTCTACTCTTGACACATATCTGGATGGCAACTAACAACACAGGATTTCATAACTATCTTTCCAAGGACAAGATGCTCCATGAAATAAAGTCATTGGGAAACTCATACACTAATGTTCTCTTGTAAGATCACAGTGAGCATTAATTATTAATGGTTCTGAGAACTCATGATAATGAAACCAGCTGAACTTTGCTTAACCCACACATTTCTTAAGCATCTTTGACCATAAGAAGGCTTCCCCCCCTTAATACTTTATAATATTCTGCTACCATTCCACAGGACGCAGAACAGATGCCCATCGATCTCTACTGTCCACCTCACCATTACACAATTCATTACCACTCTCTAAGGAGTGCTGCAAACTTCTCAAGTGTATCAAACAAGGGAATATAGCCCACACCAGGGCTCAGCAGCACCAGTTATGCAGAAAGCGCTTTGCTAGGTTTTATGGGAAATGTAAAGATGAGGAGGTAGTTCTCATCCCTCCTTCAGGAGGATCAGTCATTTGGTTCTGTACCTTAAAAGGAACTTAGACTCAACAAGCACAGTCTACTGAATCATTTTTCATCTAGGCTTCACTTCATGAATATTCCAAGTGGAATAGTTTTGAAGTAGGACAGACAGATCACAGTTCTTAAATTAAGAGAGGGATGCTTCACCAAAAGCGCCTTACAGTTTTCCTGGGTGTCTTGGAGGGAGTCTGAAAGGATGACTTCCTGGAAGATCGTAAGTTCCTGGATACACTGATGGGTGTTCTTGGGAGGTGTGGCGTGGAGGTGTCTTCCTCCTCACTGCTGGAGTCTGAAATCTCTGCTGTCGGTAGAAACTCTTCCTCTTCTTGGTCATTTTTACTATTACCCAAAAACCTGCATGTTGGGAATATTATTATCATCTATGCAGCATTCAAAGTCTAAGTAAGAGAAGCTTGATAACAGATCAGGGTGGAGTAGGGGTATTGTCATCAAGCAATGTGAGTACAGGTCTGGCTCTACTTCTTGGGCACTTAATACTGAGTCATACTGAACCCCTCTGTGCATTGTATGCATAATTTCCATTTCAAAGACTTAGAAAGGATAAGTAACATTACCAAGGTTACCCAAATATTACGTAAAAAAGCCCCATATTCAAATCCACATCTATCAGAATCAAAGCTCATGCTGTTTGTCATCCCACAACACTGCCTTGCCCACCATCAGTCTTGTTCCGCAGGATGATTATGGGGCTCTGGGAACCACCTAAACCTCAGGCAGTTTTTTGCACTTCCTAACTATGACCTTTACATCAGTTTAATGTGATTCCAGACAAACTATGTGAAAGGTAAATGTCAGTGGGTTGGCAAGTGACAAATAATACAAGAGGCTTTAAGGGATAAGACTATAGAAATTACAGATGGCAGCTATAAATGTTTTTCTGTCGTTCAAAAAGCAGCCTTACCGAAGCTGTTGCCGGATCCGACTCAAAGTTAAGAGAGAACTCTTTCTGCGGACACGACGGGGAGTGGATGCAGCTTCACTCTGGGCTGTTGGTTTTTCTGAGTCACTGAAAGATATCAGAATGAAGCTATGGGAAGAGGCCTGGGCACAAAGGATCAATAGGCACTAAAAGAGTCAGGCCTGACTGGATCCTCTTCCCTTCACAGATACTTTGGAAGGAACTAATCACACTTGGCTGACAAAAAAAAAAAAAAATCCATACTTGAAGTTTGAATCAAACCCAGGTCTGAAAATTGGCCTGAAGTTCATTATTTAATCAGATGACTCTTTCCCCCTCCACTTCCCACTCAGCAGAGACTAGAACACACCAATCCCAGGTAGTTCCCTGTTTTGTCTCTGATGCATTTATAGCTTACTATCCTGCCCATCCATCTCTCATCTGTCAGTTTGTCATACTGTGGTGGCTTGTGAGTTGCTGTGATTCTGAAAGCTATGCCACCAGTATTTTAAAAACCAGCAGGATTACACCTCAATGTCAAGAAAACAAAAATTCTCACCACTGGACCAATAAACAACATTTTTATCAACGGAGAAAAGATTGAAGTTGTCAAAAACTTCATTCTTCTTGGACCAACTATCAACACTCAAGCAAGCAGCAGTCAAGAAATCAAATGACATACTGCATTAGGCAAATCTGCTGCACAGGACCTTTTTAAAGTATTGAAGAGCAAAGAGCTTAAGGACTGAGGTGAGCCTGACCCAAGCCATGGTTTTTCAATAACCTCATATTCATGTGAAAGCTGGACAGTGAAAAAGGAAGACTGTAGAAGAATTGATCCTTTTGAGTTATGGTATTGGAGAATATTAAAAGTGCCACGGGCTGCCCATAGAATCAACAGATCTATGTTGGAAGAAGTGCAGCCAGAGTACTCCAAACTTCATCTCTCATACTTTAGACATATTGTCAGGAGGGACCAGTCACTGGAGAAGGATATCATGTTTGGTAAGGTGGAGGGTCAGAGAAAAAGAGGTAGACCCCCAACAAGATGGACTGGCCAAGTGGCAGCATCGATGGACTCTAGCGTGGCAAAAGTAGTGAGGTGGGCCCAGGAATGGGCAGTGTTTCGTTCTGCTGTGCTTAAGGTTGCTATGAGTCGGTACTGACTCGATGGCACCTAACAACATCCTGCCCATGTTCTAGGTTAACAGAAATACAGCTATGATTCAATATAAAATATTTATTGAGCAACTGATTGTATGGCAGGTTATTAGTTTCTAGGCAGGAAACGTTTGAGAAATATAATTTCTGACTTGTCACTTTTTGTGTCTACAGCTGATCTATAAACATTCTGGAATTGGAGCACTGGTGTGGTACTGCAGGATAAGCACTGGACAGCTAACTGCAAGGTTGGCAGTTCAAACCCACCGGTAGCTCCTCAGAAACTCTACCTGGTCACGGAGTCAGAAATTACTTGGCAGCGCTTAATAACAATGTGAAACTGCAATGTGCATTCCAGAAGCATTATTTTCTTACACGTGTTTAAGTATCATCTTCTGCTAAAAACAAACTAAGGAAATGACTGCTAGAATAAAATCCAAGGCTGTGAAGCATTTCAACTTTAGAAATTGTCTTCCAGCCCCCAGTGACATTCAAGTGTATTAGAATCTTCCACAAAGCATTTTACAAATACAGATTCCTGGGCTCCACACCTGAAAACTGATACACTTAGACATTTGGGAAGAGGCTCAGAAATCTGTATTTTAGAAAAGTTCACTGGCGATTCAGTGACATAATCAAGTGTGCAACCATCGGTGTAATTTTTATGGCTGTGGCCTGCACACTTAACATCATGTACAGGGTTATGATTTGCTTTGTGGGTGACAGGGTGATGTCTTCAGTTACCTCTTTTTGTATTTTTCTGGTTTCAGAACCACATAAGGTGCCACCAAGGGTTTCTGACCCCTTATTACAGGGGAAAGCAATCTCTCATTAATCTCTGTTGCTTTCAAAGCAGGGACTCGGGTTCTCAGGGTCATGTGACATTTAGGCGAAGACCTCTTGTTGTCCTTGGAACCAGTGGCTTTTAGAACTGGAGACAAAGTATGAAGCTGAGGCCTCTTGCAGGGTGAGGTCAACTCAGAGGAGGGCTCTTTCCGCTTGGTTCTTTCTGGAGAACCCAGAGAAGTACACGTCTTCTCCTGGGAAGTCCCATAGTTAGGTGTCTTCGGGAGACCTAGACCCAAGAGAAACCACCAAACATTGTATGGATTTTATAACCAGCACTGTACACACCTCCGATTTTATGATAGCTAAATTCATCCACTGAGGTTATACAAAGACATGATTTCTCCATATTTTGAATTATTCTATATGTTCTTTTCCCATACAGGTAGATTAATTTTTGGTCTCTTGCCTAAATTTCATGAGTGATTTTCCTAGTTAGAACCACATGCCAACTATTAAGTGAGTTTCTAGATAAATGTTCAGCAATCAGATTTCCCCAGAGGAATCTAAAACAATGGCTTTATGCCCAAGGGAGGTCCCTCAAAGGGTTTGGACTTAGCTACTAACCAAAAGGTTGGTGGTTCAAACCTACCCAGTGGTGCTACAGAAGAAACACCTGGTGATCTGCTTCCATAAAGATTACAACAAGAAAACCCCATGGAGGTCAGTTCTGTTCTGTAACATATGGGGTCGCCAGGATTTGAAACTGACTTGACAGCAATGGGGTGGGTGGGTTTGGTCTCATCAGAGTTGTGGGGTCATGGGAGGAAGGAAGCAGTGCACCTTCCCATTCCACTGCAAGGCATCTAAACATACTGACTAAGCAGAAATGTAATGGTGCCTCTATTGACTAAAAATTCAAATTTTATTTGAGGAAAGGATTCCTGGGAGCAATCAACTGGAATGGGTATTAATATATAAAACTGTACATGTGTATTTTTTCCTCACCATGATCAAAGTCATTCTCCAGAGATATTAATGGCTGAGTATGTGCCAGATACTGTTGTTGTTGTTAAGTACTGTGGAGTCGGTTCTGACTCATAGTGACCCTGCACAGGGTTTCCAAGGCTGTAAATCTTTATGGGAGCAGAATGCCTCATCTTTCTCCGGCAGAACAGCTGGTAGTTTCAAACAGCTGACTTTGAGGTTAGCAGCCCAATTCATAACCACTACGCTACCAGGTACTAGGAGGAAACGAAAGTTGAATGAAAATCCTGGTCTCCATCCAAGACACTCAGGTCTAATAAGGAAGATGATATAGATGAAATAAAATAAATGTCCTACAACACCTAAGCACTAATACAGATGGTTTCTGAGATAGGAAGATAAAATTTCAACAAAGGTGAAAGAGGAGGGAGAAGGACGTATTAGCAGAGTAAAGGAGGTCGTGCTGTGAACTAAAGAAACAAGGCAGGAAAGCACTGAGCACTGAGCACAGAGCTTACTTTAGTCCCACACATCAAATGTGGGGCATAGTTGTAGGTGCAGCTAGAGGAGTTATGTAGTACATATATGTGAATGCTTATGGAAGCTTTAGTCATTCACTGAAAACTTAAATTAGAAACAAATAAACTGTGGTACAACTATGCAACAGAATATTACTTAGCAACAAAATGGAACAGATGAGAATGAATGCAACATGAATGAATCTCTGATGTATCAGGCTATGTCAAAGGAGCCAGATGCAAAGATTTTATACTGTCTGATTTCATTTCTATGACATTCTAGACAAGGCAAAACAAAGACAGTAATCAGATTACTGTGAAAGAGGTTAAACCTTCCCCCAAAACAAGCCTACTGCCATTAAGTTGATTCTGACTCCTGGCCAGTCTGTCGAACAGTAAGTTGTAGAACTTCCCCTGAGGGTTCTGTTTTCTACCACTATAAATCTTTATGGAAGCAGATGTCTCCATCTTTCTTCTGTGGAGTGGGCTGATGAGTTTGAACTGCTAACCTTGCAGTTAGTAGCCCAAATGCTTAATCCACAGCATCACCAGAGCAGAAGTGTTCATTACAAAGGGGCATTTTGGGGTGACAAACTGTATAGTGTTGTTATACAATTATACATCTAAAAAGGGAAACTTTACTGTATGTAAATTATACCTGAAAAAATTTGACTTTGAATACGAAGCTAAAATTATTCAATTTATAAAAACAAAGGTAACTCGCGTTTAGGTAAATATGTAAATGTCCCAAAGTCCTGGATCCCCATATCTCTATAAATGTCCCATCTTTCTGTCAAGATAATTAACCCAATTATTTTCAACATATCCTCCCTACTCCAAGTATATAACTGTCAAGTTAAAATTTCCCAACTTACCTTTCAAGATTCCTGTGTAATCAAGTCAAAAAACCCTGTAATGATTTCTAAATGATGCATTACAGATTCTTTAGGGGCTTTTTTTGGTGGCATTTTCCCCAAATGTTTTATTTTTATTCAGACCATAGAACCCATATTAGATAGAATACAAACAATCCCCATCTGTTGCCATTGAGTGGATATCAACTCCTAGGGACCTTATAGGTCAGAGTTAATGCCTGCAGAGGGTTTTCAAGGCTGTCAGTCTTTATGGCAGCAGCATCTTTCTCCATGGAGTGGATGGTGGGTTCTAAGTACCAATCTTCTGGTTAGTAGCTGAGGATTAATCACTATGCCACCAGGACTCCTTAAAAAGTTCATGGAGAAGTGTAATGGAAAGAGAATGGAATTTTCCCATGGATTTTTCAAAGACCCCTGGGTAGAAATGCCATGGAGCAATACATACATTATTAACTGAACATCTCATTCTCATACTGGTAAAGAGAGAATGGGAAACAAGAATGTGTGTGTGCATCTGTGAATTTTTTTGTGCATCTGTGAATTTTGCAAAACACAACACACGAAACAGACCAGAAGCTAATAAAATGGGTTACCTACAGGGCTGGGGAGTCCTGGTCTGGCGCTGTAGGTTAATGCGCCAGACTGCAAAGCTGTTTGAACTGCTAGGTCTGTGGTTCAAGATCACCAGCTGCTCCTCGGAAACCCTATACAGGGTCACTATGGGTCGGAATTGACTCGGTGGCACTTAACAACAACAGGGCTGGAGGAGCCCTGGTGTGGCGCTGTGGGTTAATGCGCCAGACTGCAAAGCTGTTTGAACTGCAAGGTTGGCGTTTCAAGCTCACCAGCTGCTCCTTGGAAATCCTATACAAGGTCGCTATGGGTCAGAACCAACTCAACGGCACTTAACACAACAACAGGCTGGAAGGCAAGGAAAGGAATAGGGTCTCCAGAGTGCATGTGCTTTAAACAGTTTCAGTTCTTTCATGGTTTCACATGTTTAAGCTAGGTGGCAAGCTTTTTCTGTAAAAGGTTCCCTACAATAATTATTATAGGCTTTGTGGGTTACATCCAAGTCATTTTTTAAAATCCTTTAAAATGTAAAAAAGCATCCTTAGGTTGAAAATTGTATAAAAACAGGTAGGCTGAGCAGTGTGGCAAGACTTGGGGACTCTTGGGCCCAGAATCAGTGACATAGCCACAGAAGACTAGAGTGGACAGTTAAGCGTCCAGCTGATAAGAAGGGCATATGCACAAGAACACCCATACGTGCAGATAATACCCAGCGTGACCTGGCTTCAATAACTGGATGATCAGAGCTCAACTAGAAGAAGAAAGAACAGGAAAAAAAGAGTGATTTGATGAACTTGACCTACACCTATGGATGCAGTAGCTCAAAAGAGGGAACAAATTTTTACAGCGAGGATCATTCCTCCTACCCACCCCTCCATACACAGAATAGAAACGGATGGGCAACTTGGACAATGGATACCCAAAATGGGGGGGATGGGGACCTACAAAGGCAAGAAGTGACTGGCTTACAAGCTTTCAAGAGGGAGCCTAGATCCAGAGGGCGTGGAGGAAGGTAGAATCTCCACTGAGTAGTATCCAATCTGTCTGGGTGGGGCTGATGAAAGGAGATGAGGATAGGTCTCTTCTGATACACTAGTGAATAACTGTTATCAAGACTGACTGTGAGGATTGCAAATGTAAAGGTGGACATTTTACAGCAAAAGGAGGGGAGTGATTGACTTTGCAGTCTAGGAGCAGAGGTCCCTGGGACCATCAAGGGAGAAGACCAGAGTGCTAGAAGCAGTGACACGAGAGATGAAGGCAGAGATGATGACACAGAGAGATGGAACGGCTGGGCACTCTAGACCCAGAGAGGGAGAGGGGCTGTGTGCTGATGTCTACGGACAGGGCGCAGGCTTGCAGGGTATACCCTTTGGTTGGTTGATGATGCATGGAGGAGACTGTAACCATAGCAATGAAACGATATACAATAGAATGAATGTAAAGCTAATGTGCTCCCATGTAAACTATCACATAGTCCATATACAGAGTACTTCAAGCTTATTAATGAAAAAAATAAAAATAAAAAATAGGGCTACATCTCAGAGTAAAGAGGAACCACCAGAAGGGCTACCCATTTCAACAGATGTCCAATCAGTCTCTGGCCCAGCAATGACCTAACTCAACACTGTCACTTAAAGTAACACTTGATCATATTCCTGCAGCCCCAACATTGCCCAGTGTGACCCATTCATACTTACTGCCAAGCTCCAGTCTCTTCCTTGCTCTTGGAGTAATTGAATGGGTAGGAGTCTGACAGGATTTAGAGGCATGGTGCCTTGATTCTACTCTTTTGTCTGCTTGCTCTGTGGTGGTCCAAGGTGGGCTTTCTGTGTTCTTAGTCTTGGCTCCCACAGGCTTCTGGCACCTGGGGCTGCTTTCTTGTAGCTTATCCAACTCTGCAAGTAGTTCTGGAGACAGAGGTCTGAACTTCTTTTCATTCCAGGATAGTTTCACAAAGAATGTGTTTTCATATTTTAAACCCATAGGTATCATTTCATCAGGGGCTAAAGCAACTACCTGAATTTAGGAAGTAATAGGAGAGTAGAAAAGATCAGGACCAAAGAGTCAAGTAATGCTCTGACAGAGCTACAATCAAAAAGTATTTAAGTCTACATCTGTGACTCAAATGTCACTTTTACAGTCTAAAGAGTCAAAGATGTAGCAAGGCATATTAACGCTGAAAACATGAGAAATAGTTAATATTTACTGACCATCTACTCAATGTAGTCATTAATGGTTTTAAAGAAATACTCAGAGTATATCTGAGTAATTTGTTTAAAATACTTTCGTTTCACTTTTGAAATGTTTATTTGTTTTAATTCTTAATTCCTACCACTCTTACCTTACCTCATTCTGACATTAATCTACAGACTCCTCCCTAGCTGAAATCCTTACCCAGCAATACATTCTTTTCCTGTCCATTCTATTCACCTATGAAAATTTTCTCCACATACTACTTTTCTAAGCACGTTCCCCTGTCTCAGTAATCTATAGTGGCTCTTGACTTTAGCAAGATCAAGATGTTGCTAGATTGTGACTCATGGCTACCCCATATGACAGGGTAGAATGTTCCGCTGGATTTCAAGTTTGTCACTTTTGGGAAGCAGATCATAGGCCTGCATTCCGTGGCAACTCTGGGTGGGTTTGAACCACTCAGGGAGTCAAGATCAGATTACCTAATTGGTTTACATTGCCTTCTAAAATCTGGTTTCAGCTTACCCATTGAATGCTCACAACTCCTCAAAATGGCCTTCCATAGCTAGTCAAGCTGGGCTTGTCAGGGTCCCGTTCTATCCCACCACCCTGCTCCCTTGCCTTTCCAAATCTACCTAACATGCTGTTTCAACTTTCACATTGGCCTTTCACTACTTCAACTTTGTTACTTTCATTGATTTTCCTGAGAGATAACATTATTTTATAGCATATATTACGCTGGATTTATAGCCTGAAAACATCCAAACAGAGTGCTGCTTTACTATTAAACCAACCACCTGAAACACTGTAAAATAAGGACCACACCCCACCTTTAGAGCCTGAAGTACTCTGGGAATAACCTATATCTTTAGTCTTTAAAACAGTATCTAAATTCAGCCAACAAAGCAGCAGCTCATTAGCACACAATTTACCATAAAATCCCACAATGCAAATTGCTGGCAGCAACTGGCACTAGACTGACTTATTTAAGGCGAAGTCCTCATTAAGCCTCCCAATGCTTGATGTCTGCTATAATCATAGTGAAATATCATTTGCCCAGTCGTGCGCATCCCTTAGGTCACAACCTAAATAGCATTTCCTCTATTTTTTCTCAATAAATATTTGTTGAGATTAATCATGCAGACAAGCAAGAGAAGATGACAAGTGAAAATTCATTTCCTGTGGGGTATATTAGAGCCAGTAATAGTTTTGATGTCATGTAATTTAGGATAGAAATAAGATTCACGATAGAACTGAGAGGACAAACACACCACTTACCCTCACAGGGCCAATGATGGTCTCAGCATCAATGTTGCCATCATAGGCAGGGTAATCATACCAGAAGATCTCCTGTGCAGCAGGCTTGCGGCCCAACAAATGCCGTTTACACATAGGGACTTCAGAGAATCTGACAAACCACTGTACTCGAGCTCGTTTCTTGGAATACAGTTCACAGTCTAAGAGGAATGAGGTAAAAAGGAGGATAGAATAGCTGTAAACACATCCACTAAACTAATCAAACTGACCATTACCTAGGTGCCAGATTCTGTGCTAAACACTTAGCATGTATTATCCTCACAATAACTTTACGAGGTATGTGTTGTGGATCTCCCTCTTTTACAGAGCAAATCACTGGGTCTTTTCTTCCACAGAGCAGAACTCTTAAAATTATAGAGAAATGACCGAACAGCAGCAAAGTAAAAATCTGAGCAAGAATTAGAGCATCAGTTACTGACACTGAGAAAACATCTGGCCAATGAACATATGTTTACATCTTCAGCTGGAGCATTGTAATATACCACTAATATCACTCCACCCCAGCATTAGCTCCCAGTGAAAGACGTACACTCATGAATGCCACCATCATTCCCTTACTTTTCTTCCTAAGCTTTCTTCAGACTGTCGCCATCCTATGGAATACTACACTGTTGCTGTTAAGTGCCATTGAATTGGTTCAACTCATAGTGACCCTATATAGGCTTCTGAGGAGCAACTGGTGGGTTTGAACAGCTGACTTTATTTTTAGCAGTCCAGTGCATATCCTGCAGTGCCAGGACTCTGGGCACAAAAGATGAAAGTTTTGATGATGTGCTCCCCCCAATGGATGTTAGTTGATGAAGAATTTCTCCATATCACCAGGGATCTTTTCAAATATAACCTCTGAGTAAAACACCTGTAGTGTTTTAATTTTCCTGACTGAACACCAACTGATACACAGTCCCAGTCCAATTGACCTCCTTCCTTGTAAAAAGTTTGCACTTGCAATATTCCTTTCTGACTTCCTCATGTCGAACTTACAGGACACATCTCTAATAGAGTGCAAAGCAGTTTTCCCCTCTTCCTCCTGAATTCATGCTTTCTCCCCATTTCAAAAATACTACCTTAATGATCATTCTAAGGAGCTCTGATAGCGTAGTGGTTACGAATCGGGCTGTGAACCACAAGGTCAGCAGTTCGAAACTACCAGCTGTTCCGCAGGACAGAGATGAGGCTTTCTGCTCCCGTAAAGATTTCCAGCCTCGGAAACCCTATACAGGGTCGCTATGAGTCGGAACCAACTCCACGGCACATAACAACAATGGTCATTCTTACCCACGCCTAACAATAATAGCAAAGTAAAATTATTGATCCCTCCAATCCCATTTACCCAGCACTGCTCTGGTGAGTTTAGGGGTTCACTACATGGAAGGTACAACTGTGTATAAGTGACCTCACTTCACATTCAAAGATGTTCTGTGTGATACTGGAAACACAGGAATCAGCAACTTCCTCTCTTCCCCACCTATTAGCACTCCCCAGTCATTCATGACAAGAAACAGTTTTCAGCCCCACACTCACCATCTTCAAACAACTCAATCAATTTAGCAATATAAGGATTTTCATCATCATTGCCTTTAATCAGCACAAACTGTCCAACTTGGATATGAATCTGAGTTGAACAACCTTCTATTTTCACACACATTTCCCTGGAAAGTAACATAAACATGTAAGGAAATCAGTTAGGGCAGGCCAAGTTCTTCAGACCCTCTGGACAGAGGGAAATGATCTCTGGAAAAATCCCTGAATAGTTTCTCGGAAACCAGTTTACCTAGTTTCATGCAAGACTAAAGGAAATGGGTTGGATGAATTGTTTCAGCACGAGAGAAGAATCCAGAGGTTTTAATATGAACCTCAGCTTTTCTTAAGTTATTGACACAGAACAACAAAGGCTTCCCAAGGCTGGAGAGTTACCCAATAACTATAGTAAATTGTTGAGAAAGCTATAGGGCTGAGGAGGACACAGTACTAAGATCTCAATCCTGTTATTCTGCAATCATATGTATCCAATTTTATTAATCTCTCATAGCAATTTCTCTCCTATCAGAGACTGCTGTATTTATGCCACCTAATCTTCTACCATTAGATAGAACCCCTCCTTACAATCAGTTCTTAACTGTTGCTCCTCAATCTTCAATCTGTAGTCACTAGGAAAGGATATAAGTTATTAACAGTTTAGCCTGGAAAAGTTACAGTTCTGGGGCAACGCCATCACTCACTTGTAGGTTTGGTAGTACAGTTTTGGATCCAACAATGGCCTGCCAACCCATGAGTAAGTCTGTTTGATCTTCTGTCTTGTGGTGTAGTATGCCATGGCTCCTGTGTAAAAATCACCGAGTTACATGACAATGCTTTGATGGAGTCTAGAGCATAGCTCCTGTCTTCAATAAGTTCACTCCTTTCTGCCTAGCTAGGAGCTCATGAATGAGCTATGCCAAGTAATATGGAAAACAGCTACCTGGGGCCAACTAACTAGAAGAGATCCACATTTTTGCCCATTACAAAGAAAAATAACCCAAAAGAATATAGAAGTTATCAAACACCTTAATATATGCAAGTTAAATTTTGATGAAGATAATTTAAAAAGGGTTGCAGCAGTACATTGACAAGGAACTATCAAAAACTCAGATGGATTCAGAAGAGGACATGGAACAAGGGATATCATTACTGATGTCAGATGAATCTTGGCTGAAAGTAGAGAATACCAAAAAGATGACTCTGCAAAGGCATTCAACTGTATGAACCCTATCAAATTATGGATAACATTGTGAAAAATGGAAATTCCAGAATATGTGGCCATGTGGAACCTATACATAGATAAAAGTGTAGTTGTTCAAACAGAACAAGGGGCTACCATGTGGTTTAAATCAGGAAGATGTGTGTCAGAGTTCCATCATTTCACCATGGCTATTCAATCTATATGCTGAGCAAATAACCTAAGAAATTTGACTAGCTGAAGAATGTGGCGTCATGATTTGAGGAAGACTCATTAACAACCTGTGATATTACAAATGACACAACCTAACTTGTTGAAAGTGAAGAGGACTTAAAGCACTTACTGATGAAGATCTTTATGTTGAAGATTGCATGGCAACAAAAAGAAAATAATCCTCACAACTGAACCAATAAATATCTGATAAGTGGAGAAAATATTCAAGTTGTCAAGGATTTTATTTTACTTGGAGTCATAATCAACACTCATGGAAACAGCAGTCAGGAAATAAAGTGATAGATTGCAGTAGGCAAATCTGCTGTAAGGAACCTCTTGAAAATGTTAAAAAGCAAAGATGTCTCTGAGGACTGGTGTGCCCGACCCAAACTATGGTGTTCTGAATGCAAAAGCTAGACAACGAATATGGGAGATCAAAGAATTGATGTATTTGAATTATGGTGTTGGCGAAGAATATTGAATGCACCATGTACTGCCAAAAGAATAAAAAATCTGTCTTAGAAGAAGCACAGCCATAATGCTCTTTAGGAATAAGGATAGTGTGAGTTCAACTCACATAGTTTGGAAATGTTACCAGGAAGGACCAGTCCCTAGAGGAAGACCCTTAACAAGATGGCTTGACATAGTGGCTGTACCGATAGGCTCAAACACAGTGAGGTTGGTGCAGGATCCAGCAGTGTTTCATTCCATTGTACACAGTATTGGAATTGACTGGACAATACCTAACAACAAAAGCCCATACATTTTAGTTAGAAAATTTTTCCATGAAAGAAAAAAAAAAAAACTCTTATCAAGATCAAACACAGGCAATTTAGTATAATCTGTGTGGTGCTGTGGGTTAGGTATTGGACTGCTAACCACAAGTTCAGTGGTTCAAATTCACTAGCTGCTCCATGGGAAAAAGATGAGGCTGTCTCAGAAATCCTGTGTAGTGGTGTTAAGAGTCAGAATGGCAGTGAATTTGGTGTATGTGTTGTACTTTGCTGTGTACCTTATCCCACCCAGAGATATAGGAAGAGTTATACACAGGAAGTTATATATGGGAATATATAAAAGAAGCAAATGTCTAGGGAGGTTGGCAAAGGAAAGATGAAGGTAGCGGAAGACACAGGGAGGAGTTTAAGAGTTAAACGGAATAGAGGTAAATACTGTTAACTGATGATATATGAAGGGGATTACAATTATTGTAATGAAAGTGCATACGATTTGTTGAATGTAAAACTGATGCTCTGCTTAAATAAATAAATAAAAAGATAATGGAAGCATTTTATTCATCAGTGAAAAGCCTAAAAAGTCTTCTGAAGAGGCAGCATAAGAAAATGAGTGTCTCTTGCACCCCTTTTACCAACCCAGCATTTCATCTTATCCTGGGTATGGCATTTTAGGATAAGCACTGGACTGCTAACAAGGTCAGCGATTCAAACCCACCAGCCACTCCTGGGAAATCCTATGTAGGGTCTCTATGAGTCGGAACCAACTTGACGGCACTTAAAACAACCATCATCAGAGAAATTCCAAAAAGGGATGGTACATGGGGTGGAAAGGCAGGTCTGATTCTGCCATGCAAAAGTTTTGGCTTCTAGAAGGTACTCACTACAGGCTGACTGTCAGAGATACTGGAAATCTGGAAGACACACACCACCCTGTCTAAACACCGCGCCCACCACAAACAGAATTGCAGTAAAAACAAAAAACAAATATCACTTACTGCCATAAAGTCTTTCCCAACTCATAAGAGACCCTATATAACAGGATTTCAGAGGCTAGCAATCTTTATGGAAGCAGACTGCTACATCTGAGCCAACATAACAAAAGACTGGGTCAAAACCTGGCGAATTTCATTTAAGCCTCAATAATCCTAAAACAATGCTGGAACAGAGTAAGTGCACAGGAGGTGCTCAGTAATAAATATTTGCTGAATGAAAATTACAGGTAGATGCTACGATTACTTCCAACGTGATAACTTGGCCAATGTTTAAAAAATACAACCTTAAATGAAACTCTGAACAGCCAGATTCCAGTGACTGCTTGTAACCTTTCTGTGAAACTGGATGTCAGTGCAGGGCAGACTGAGCTCACTTCTGATGTGTTTATTATATTAAGTTAGGTTTCCAAAGCCACCAAGAGGTCATTCTCCAGTTCTTTATCTACAAATTATGGTAATTTTTAAAACACCCACAATGGGCCAGGACTCATTATAGGATTGTTGAGAATTAAGTGAAGAAAATGCTATAACGCTAAATTCACTCCCTTCTCTCACTTGCATTTATATAATTTTTAATAATGTCACAGATGTTATGCAACTAACATAAAATTTTACATTCAATTTCAAGGGACTCATACTAAGGTCCACACATGCTTTATATATGGTGCTCTGGATGAGCACTGCTTCGGGTGTGGTGCTGTAGGATAAGAACTGGATCGCTAATTGTACGGTTGGTTGTTCAAACCTACTAGCCACTCCTTGAAACCCCATACAGGATCGCTATGAATTGCAACCCACTCGACGGCACTGAACAGTTTTTTACATCTGAACCCTCCACTGGCATTCACAAACAGTAAAACAGAGAAAAGGGTACTATTATCCACTGTTTTGATTTTTTTTTCACGTTTCAGACAAAATTAGCATCTAATTTCTACGGGCTGACAGGATAATTCTTTTCCCAGCTGTCAGTGGAAAAATTGCATTAGAATTCTCTCCAGGGGGAGGGGGGGAGGAAAATGTGGATGAGAGCCCTGGTGTGTAGAAGGTCAAGCCTCTTAGTCACAGAAAGCAACCCAGAAATGTTTCTCTCCTAGCGCAACCACTACATCCGCAAAATGGGGTAACAGCTTTTATCGTTCTGCCTTCCCAAAAGTCCACCACTAAGACTCAAAGGAGGAAACCAATGCGAGGGCTCTACTTAGAAGGGCGACGCAAATGGAAGGAACGGTTAAAATTTTGACTGCGAGTCTCAGGGTGCCGAGTGCAGGTCAAGAATGTTCATTCCGCTTGCTTTCCCAGTGCCTGAGGGGACCGGGTGGTGCAGCGGATCAAGCGTTAGTCTACTAACCAAAAGGTCAGCGGTTCAAACCACCAGCTGCTCCGCGTAAGGAAGATGAATCTTTACGAGTTTACAGTTTCGGCAATCCTCAGGAGCAGTTCTACTCTGTCCTATTGGGTCTCTATGAGTCGGAATCCATAGGGGCTTGACTGAGCGGGGAGCGTTTCAGGGTCTGGGAGAAGGAACTCTTTTGCCGGGCTTTGAAAAGTATTTAGCAGGCGCGGAGTTAAATCTCTGCTGAATCTAAAAGTGAGTAATGAATCTATAGAGAGCAACACCTTCAGTTCTACCGGCTTGGGTCAGCCTCCAGCCCGCGCACTCACCGGGCGACCTCAGCTTCCTCAGCCGTCCCACCGCCTCCACTTCAAGAGCTCCTGAACTTGGTTGCAGCAAGTATAGCTGGACGCCTCCTCGTACAGTCACGAGGCTAATGCCAGAAGCAAAGCTGATGCTTCACAAAGAGCGTAAAGAAGGTGGAGAAAAGAAAATTTCGCGCCAAACGATGAAACCCCGCCCCCAGTGTTTCCCCCTGTTTCTCCACCAACCAGCTTGCTCGCCCCGCCCATTTAGGAGGGACGCATGACGCACAACGGCAAACGTGCAGTGGCCATCATTGATTCGGGCAGTGTTGCCAATCCAGTAAGGAAGTTTCTTCCAAGTCGCGTTTCCGGGCTCAAAATGGTGGCTTCTCGAGTTTAGTGAGACTTCCTCCGCCTTTTTCTGTAACTATCGCGTTTGTTTTTGTTTTTTTGAACCTGGATGTGACGCATTAAAGAACCCGACGGAAATAGAGTTGAAAGCTTTCTAACATGGCGAACCGTACTGTAAAGGATGCTCACAGCATCCATGGCACCAATCCTCAGTATCTAGTGGAAAAGATCATTCGGACACGAATCTATGAGTCCAAGTACTGGAAAGAGGAATGCTTTGGACTTACAGGTGAGCGGGAACGCGCAGACCCTCTCGCCCAACTGGGCGCGGAATACGATTGGCCCCTGGTGGATTGGCTGAGAGTCGATGGGTGGGATTGGAGAGAAGTGTGTCAGTCATGAAAAGGCCCTGGTGGTGTAATGGTTAAGCGCTGGGCTGCGAACTGAAAATCTGGCAGTTGGAACTCGTCAGCCCCTTCGCGGGAGAAAAGACCTGGCGATCTGCCCTTGTAAAGATACCAGCATAGGGAACCTGGGACAGTTCTAGTCTGTCCTGTAGGATCACTGTCGGAATCATCTGGAAGGCAATTAGTATGTCAGTCTTAAGTCGCTGGTTGAAAAACTAGTCTTGGTGTGGCACTGGACTGCAAAGGCAGTTTGAACCTCAAGGTAGGCGGTTCAAACTTACCAGCCGCTTCTCGGAAACTCTGAATAGGGTGGCTATGGGTCTGAACCAACTCGACACTTAACAACAATCGGAACTGATTCAGTGGCACTCAACATGAGCAGGAATGATGGGACAGCAACTTTGTGTGTGTGTGCGCCTGTGTTTTTGTTTGTTTATTAATGATACACTAATTAACATAATCAGGCTGCATGTTCCTATTCTGTATCCATTAATTCATTCAATATTATACCTGGCAACTTATAGTTAGGCACTGTGCTAAGTACTAGAGATACAGGTATTGATAAACAAGGCAGACAATCACTTCTTTAATGAATATATAGCTTAGCAAAGCAGAAAGCTTGAAAATAATCTATGGTGAGTAGTTAAAAGAAGCAGCAGAATGCAATAAAAATGTGTGACGAGAACCTAACATATTGTTGTTGTTGTTGTTAAGTGCTGTCAAGTTGATTCCTACCCATAGCGACCTCATATAGGGTTTCCCAGGAGCGACTGGTGAGCCTGAACCACCGACCTTATAGTTCAAACGGCTTTGGAGTCTGGCGCATTAACCCACAGAGCCACACCAGGACTCCAGAGAACCTAACATAGTGCTAGGGAAAAGGGTGAGTTATGCTTCTTTGAAAAACCCACCTTTTGCTAAGAACTGAGCTATAGTCAGACAGATAACTTAGCATTTTATGTGTATTATCTGATCCAATCTTCTCTACAGCTCAGTTTAATTGATAGGCTTAAATGATTTGCCTAAGTTTACACAGCTAGTGTTTGAGTTCTGACAAGCGTTGAAAGGTTATTATCTATGTTCTGTAGAGGAGAAGAGATTAATCAAGGTTATGTAGCTATGATGGAGCTGGTTTTGTTGTTTTTAAAATTGTAATTCAGCTTATTTTAAAAAAAAAAAACAAAAAAACACAAAACCCCAGCACTCGTCAGTCGTACTGTGGTGGCTTGTGAGTTGCTGTGATTCTGAAAGCTATGCTACCAATATTTTAAATACCAGCGGGGTCACCTATGGTGGACAGGTTTCAGATGAGCTTCCAGATGAAGATAGACTAGGAAGAAAGAGTGACGAGCTACTTCTGAATATTTAGTCACTGAAAACCTTATGAATAGCAGAGAAACACAGTCAGATATAGTGCCGGAAAATGAGCCCCTCAGGTTGGAAGGCACTCAAAGTGCGACTGGTGAAGAGCTGCCTCCTCAGAGTACAGTTGACCATGATGACGACAAGGGAGTAAAGACAGTGGGACCTTCATTTGCTGATGGGGCACAACTCAAAATGAAAGGCAAACAGCTGTAAACATCCATTGAAAATTGAAACATGAAATGTACAAAGTATGAATCTGGGAAAACTGGAAGTTGTCAAAAATGAAATGGAATGTATAAGCATCAATATCTTAGGGATTAGTGAGCTGAAATGGACTGGTATTGGCCATTTTGAATCTGATGACCACATGGTTTCTATGCTGGAAATGACAGATTGAAGAGGAATGGTGTTACATTCATTGTGAAAAAGAACATATCCAGATCAGTCATGAAGTACAATGCTGTCTGTGATAGGATAATATCCATGCACCTACGGGGAAGCCCAGTTAACACCGCTATTATTCAAGTTTACGCACCAACCACTAAAGCTGCTGACCTTGCGTTTCCCAGCCCGATTCGTAACCACTATGCTACCAGAACTCCTGTATACTGAGCAAATAGAGAAGCTGGATTATGTGAAGAAAAACATGGCATCAGAATTGGAGGAAGGCTCATTAACAACCTGCGATATGCAGATGATACAACCTTGCTTGCTGAAAGTGAAGAGGACTTAAAACATTTACTGATGAAGCTCAAAGAGCACAGCCCTTGGTATGGATTACATCTCAATGTCAAGAAAACAAAAAGTCCTCACCACTGGACCAATAAACAACATTCTTATCAATGGAGAAAAGATTGAAGTTGTCAAGGACTTCATTCTTTTTGGGTCAACTATTAACACTCATGGAAGCAGCAGTCAAGAAATCAAACGACATATTGCATTAGACAAATCTGCTGCACAAGACCATTTTAAAGATGCCCGCTTGAGGACTACGGTGCACCTGACCCCAAGCCATGGTATTTTCATTAACCTCATATGCATGCGAAAGCTGGACAGTGAATAAGGAAAATCATAGAAGAATTGATGCTTTTGAATTATGGTGTTGGAGGAGCTTATTGAAAGTGCCATGGACTGCCCAAAGAACCAATAGATCCGTTTTGGAAGAAGTGCAGCCAGAGTGATCCTTAGAAGCCAAGATGGCCAAACTTCATGTCTTATACTTCGGACATATTGTCAAGAGGGAGCAGTCGCTGGAGAAGGATATCATGTTTGGTAAGGTGGAGGGTCAGAAAAAGAGGAAGACCCCCAATGTGATGGATTGGCCAAGTGGCAGCATCAATGTACTCAAGCGTGGCAACAGTAGTGAGATTCGCCCAGGATCGGGCAGTGTTTCGGTCTGCGGTGCATAAGGTCACTATGAGTCAGTACATACTCGATGGTACCTAACAACAACAGCAACAAGCCATGATAGTGTTGAGCCTGGACTCATTAGATTTAAGTCCAGGTTCTGTACCTTTGTGGCTGAGGAAACTGAAAGTCACTTAACCTTTCTTAGGCTTTAATTTCTTTATCTAAAAATAGGGAACAAGATAGAATTTAAGATTAGATGAGATAATGTACAGTGTTTAGCAAAATACCTGACGTATATGTATGTTGTTAAGTGCTGTCAAGTTGGTTCCGACTCATAGCAATCCTGTATAAGAGTTTCTGAGAAGTAGCTGGTGGCTTTGAACCACGGACCTTGTGGTTAGCAGTCCGGTGCTGATCCTACAGCGCCACAGAAGAACTCCTGGCATATATTGCAAGGTCTAAATTATATTAGCTTTCCCTCAGCACTGCTGTCGGGTTGATTCTCACTCCTAGTGACTATAGGACAGAGTAGAACTGTCCCATAGGGGTTTCCCAGATAGTAAATCTTTCTGGAAGCAGATTGCCTCATATTTCTCCTGTGGAGCAGCTGGTGGATTAAAACCACTCACCTTTCAGTTAGCATCCCAGTGCTTAACCCACTGAGCCACTAGGGCTCCTTCTTATTGTTGTTAAGTGCTGCCAAGTTGGTTCTGATTGATAACGAACCTGAATATAGCACGTATCTGGTGGGTTTGAATTCCCAACCTTAAGGTTAATGTTGTTGTTATTAAGTACTGTCGAGTTGGTTCTGACTCAAAGTGACTCTTAATAGGGTTTCCTAGGAGCAGCTGGAGCTTAAACCACGGATCTCATGGTTCAAACCAACTTTGAAATCTAGTACATTAGCCCGCAGCACCACACCAGGACTCCTTGAGATGAATAGTTTAGTGCATATAATACAGTGCTACAGTAGGGCCTCTTATTGTTGTTGATAAGTGCCGTCATGAGTCGGTTCTGACTTACAGTAACCCGGTATATAGTTTCTGAGGCTTGTAAATCTTTGCAGGAGTAGAACGCCTCATATTTCTCCCACAGAGCCCCTGGTAGGCTCAAACCAGTGCTTATCCTATGGGGAGCCATTGTGCTCTTTAGGACTCCTTTATTAGATGTTACTATTAATTATTTTCCTGGTGTGGCACTATAGGATAAGCACTGGATTGCTAACAGCAAAGTTGGCAGTGTAAACCCACCAGTCACTCTCTAGAAACCCTGTACAGGGTCGATCTGAGTTGGAACTGACTCAGTGGCACTTAACAACGTTATCATTGTTACTACTACTATTGTCAGTACCCACTTGCTCTGCTAACATAACTGTCGGTGAATGTTTTGGAGCACGAACCATGAATTAACTTCTCTCTGCTTCAAACAGGAAAAGCTTAATGCTGAAGTGTCTGAAATGTTGCTTTATTTGTTTTTCTTTTTTTAGCTGAACTTGTAGTTGATAAAGCCATGGAGTTAAGGTTTGTGGGTGGCGTTTATGGCGGCAACATAAAACCAACTCCTTTTCTGTGTTTGACCTTGAAGATGCTGCAGATTCAACCCGAGAAGGATATCATTGTAGAATTTATCAAAAATGAAGACTTCAAGTGAGTTTAATGTTGACTAGATAATGCAAAAGTTTCAGTTTTGGAAACCTAGAATTGAACTTTGGTTAATAGGAACGAACACAGTGTCTCTCATTTCTATAGAGGGTTTTGCTTTTGAACCACTGAATTTCTATTTTGCCTGTTCTGAGTGTATTGATAATCTCTTTTACTTTCTTAGTCATGGTAACTTTTTCCCAAAGAAAGAGAATTTCATAACTAATTCACTGAATATATATTAAGTAGAATGTGTTGGTAGGCACAGGACACTCAGGGAGAAGAAAGCAACATAATGTGGTAGATAAAGCATGGAAACTTGGTTGTTATATCTGAGTTGATGTCCAGACTCTATCACTTATTAACTATGACCTTGGAGAGGTTTCTTAAAATTCTAAGCTTTATTGTCTTTATCTGTAAAGTTGGGATAATATTAACCTTCTCCTAAGGTTGATGTTAAATTTTAAGAAGCTAATGGATGTAAATCATTCAACACAGTGTCTGCTACAGGATAAAAGTTCTAAAAATGTCTTGCTCTGAATTATTTTATCATTCTCAGAGTGTTAACAGACTGCTGTCAGAGATAATCATAGTAGTTTATCATGTTTCAGCCTCTAAGGACTTTAACACTCTAAACATATAAAAATAATAATATTTCACTTAACCCTCACAACAACCCTGTACTTTTAGTATCCCCATTTTACAGGTGAGGACACTGAGGCACAGAGCTTATGGCACTACCTTATGCCAAAGTTGGCTTCAGAGTTTATGACCTTTGCTATATTCTAATTTAAGAAACAAAGAGAATAGAATGTTAAGTGCTTTCATAAGTCAATACAATATGCTTTGAAAGAAGTAATGGATAGAAGGGAGTATATAAATTAGCCTGGGGTTTTGGATTTTCAGAGAAAGAAAGTGATCCTTAAATAGTGTTTTAGAGGAAGAAGTGTAAGGGGTAAGAATGGATACAGAGAAACATAAATAAGAATACTATGTTTGGCAGCTCCCAAGTAGTCCTGAGTGTTCTAATTACATCAAGTGGGCACTTGGGCTAGTAGCAAAATAGAGACTAGATTCAGGCATGGACCAGTTCATGAGTAACTTTTTATATGAAGCCAGTGGATTGGCCTTTATCTGGAACTACAGAAGTTATGAAAAGGATTTTAATAGAAGAAGTTATTATTGTACTTTACTAAAACAGACTAGGAAGAAAAGGCTGACTATTTTGAATAGTTAGCTGCTGAAATCCTTATGAATAGCAGTATAGCATTGTCAGATGTAGTACTGGAAGATTAGCCGCTTAAGTTGAAAGACATTCAAAATATGACTGAGGAAGAGGAAAATGAAGAAGCCCTCCAACTAGATGGATTGACGCTGTGGCAGCAACAATGGACTAGAACAGTTGTTAACATGGTATAGGACCAGACATAGGTTCACAGTGAATAGGGAGACTTGATGGCACCTAACCACAGCAATGCCTAGGATATCAATCTTCATGTGTTCCATTTCATTTTTGACAACTTCCAGTTTTCCTTGATTCATGCTTTGTACATACCATGTTTTGATTATTATGAATATTTGCAAGTGCTTCTTCTCATTTTGAGTTATGCCCCCTCAGCAAATGAAAGTCTGTAAATCTTTGCTCCATTCAGTTCATTATGGTAAATTCTGCTTTGAGAAGGTAGCTTTTCTTCAGTTGCGTTTTGAATGCCTTCCAACCTGAGGGGCCCATTTTCTGGCACTTTATCTGACAGTGTTGTGCTGCTATTCATGAGATCTTCAGTGGCTAGCCATTCAGAAGTGGTTTACCTCTCCTTCCTAGTCTGGAAGCTCTGCTGAAACCTGTCCATCATAGGTGACCCTGCTGGCATTTAAAATACTGGTGGCATAATTTCCACCATCACAGCAACACACAAACCACCCCCGTATAACAAACTGGACGACAAGAAGGTGAATCCTAGGCATTAGTGAGCTGAAATGAACAGGTATTGGCCCTTTTCAGTTGGACAGGCATATTGTTTACTATGCCAGGAACAACAAACTGAAGAGGAATGGAATCATGTTCATCATCAAAAAAGAACACTTCAAGATCTATCTTTGTGTGTGTGTGTGTGAATTATGTGATTATTTTTTAATTTAAGTTTTTATTGTGAATTGAGTGATAGTTTACATAGGAGAACATCAGCCTTGCATTCATCCCATTGTACTTCATCTAATTGCAATAACTATACTCCCCTCCATGCATCATCGTTCAACAGCATTTGCTTCCATTTCAAGATCTGTCTTGAAAGTACGAAGCTGTCTGTGATAGAATAATACCCATTCAATTACAAGAAAGACCAGTTAATATCACTTATTCAAATTTACACATCAATCATTAAAGCCAGTGATAATAAAATTGAAGAATTTTATCAATTTCTTCAGTCTGAAATGATGCCTCGATAACTACTGGTAATTTGAATGTGATAATTGGAAGCAAAGAAGGGTTGGTAGTTGGAAAATATGGCTTTAGTGATAGAAACAATTAGGTAAATCTGCTGCAAAAATCTCTTTAAAGTGTTGAAGAATAAAGATGTTATTTTAAGAATTAAGGTGTGCCTGGCCCAAGCCATAATATTTTCAGCAGCCTCATATGTGCATGTGGAAGTTGAACAATGAATAAGGAAGACCATAGCAGAATTGATGCATTTGAATTACGGTGTTGGAGAATAGTTAAAGTGCCATGGACGGCCAGAAGAACGAACAAATCTGTTGTAAGAAGTATACCCAGAATGTGCCTTAGAAGTCAGGATGGCAAGACTTCCTCTCTTGTACTTTGGATATGTTACGGGGGTGACCAGTCCCTGGAGAAGAAGGACATCGTGCTTGGTAAAGTGGAGGGTCAATGAAAAAGAGGAAGACTCCCAACAAGATGGATTGGCAGCAGCAACGGGCTCAGTTATGAGGATGGCTCAGGAATGAGCTATGTTACATTCTTTTGTGCATAGGATTGCTGAGTCACAGTTGGCTTAAGGGCACTTAACAACAAGAAGGATCCCTGGTGGTGCAGTAGTTTAAACTTTGTGCTGCTAACTGAAGGTTGGTGGTTTGGGTCTACCAGCTGCTCCATGGGAGAAAGATGAGACAATCTCGTAAAGATTTACAGCAGTGTGAACAGTAAACAGGAACACCAGAGGGGAGGCTAGATCAAGGCAGTTACAGGAAACATAGATAGGTGATACTTGAAAGATTTAAAGGTGGATGAACAGGATTCGATGTTTGATTTGATATGGGAGGTTAGAAAGGCATCAATGATTACTACATTTCTTGCTTGGATGATCAGATGAATGATGGTGGCATTCACTAATAATAAGATGTGAACTGAACATGTCCTGAGTGATGATGATGTTGTTGTTGTTAGGTGCCATCAAGTCAGTACCAATTCATAGCGACCCTATGCACAACAGAACGAAACACTAGCCGGTCCTAGGCCAACCTCAGTATTGTTGCCATTCTTGAGCCCATTGATGCTGCCACTTTGTCAGTCCATCTCACTGGGCATCTTCCTTTTTTCTCTGACTCTCCACCTTACCAAACATGATATTCTCATCAAGCAACTGGTTCCTCCTGACAATATGTCCAAAGTATGAGAGACGAAGTTTGGCTATCCTGGCTTCCAAGGAACACTCTGGTTGCACTTCTTCCAACAAAGATCTGTTGGTTCTTTTGGCAGTCCATGACACTTTCACTATTCTCCTCTAACACCATGACTCAAATGCATCAATTCTTCTACAGTCTTCCTTACTCACTGTCCAGCTTTCACATGCATATGAGGTTATTGAAAATACCATGGCTTGTGTCAGGCATATCTTAGTCCTCAAGCTAACATCTTTGCTCTTCAATACTTGAAAAAGGTCTTGTGCAGCAGATTTGCCTAATACAATACGCCATTTAATTTCTTGATTGCTGCTTCCATGAATGTTGATGGTTGATCCAAGAAGAATGAAGTCCTTGACAACTTCAATCTCTTCTCTGTTGATACGTTGTTTGTTGGGCCAGTGGTGAGGATTACTTACATGGCATATCAAAGATATTGTCTGATTATTTCCTCTCTCCATTGGGTCACCTCTCTTTGGAATGGGCACAA